TACACATGGTTTCACTCCAGGCAAGCAGTAAGTCCTGGTGTAAGACCTAGGTAACTTTTCTATTTTTCAATTTAAAAAGTTAGAGTCAGAACTGGCATTAAAACATTCTTCCAGATGCAGTAGATGGTTGTTGGGGGGAGGAAGCCTAAAAAGGTAATAAATATATCTGCTGCTCTTTATAGGACATTGCTGGTAGCACTTAATGTATTACAAGTTTGTCTTGAATTCCTTTCTCCCAACACCAGTGCAGAGTGCTCTTCCTTAGATCCTGAATGAGTTTATTTCCAAGTAACGATACAGGTAAAAGGTGGTGATAAAGTTTGCTGATTTTTAAAGGCTCTGTGTCAATATTCCTGGCTCACTAGGTGTGATACTCAAGGCATTTGGTGTTTCTCTTGTAAGTGTAGCAGCCACAGCTGACCGGCAGCTTTTCTGTTGCAGAACCTGACTAGAATCCAACTGTAGCTGGCCATTGTAAGAGACATTTATTGCTCTTTTTTTTTTTTTTTCCCCATTTTGTAATTATTGCATTGGCAAGTATGCAAAGACATAGCCTGCAGCAATTTCACAGTCATGTTTTAATTGCACTTACAGCCTGGGGTTGGCCAGGTGTTGGTGTGCCTGTGCTACGTGTTGCAGTACTAGTACATCCTTCCCCTGAAGACTTCTCTGAATTGTAATTCTTCTTTAGAAGAATAATGTCCCAGCCAATCATAAATAAATAAATATTATCATATTGTAAATATTAACATTAAATATTAATAATCTCCCTTGTTATTACTTTACATTATTGCCTTTGCAGCAAGTGAGGGTGTACCTTAGCACATCATGTCCCTGTTCAGGACGATGTTTAGTAGACAAATACCAAAAAAATTTTGGTGTCTTACATGGTGTGTCTTATTTAAAATGTAGAGAGAGTGTTAAAAAGTCATTTACCCCACACTGATGTTTCTTCCAGTAATTGAAAAACAAATACTGGAATAATTCCATCTGAATGAGCACTTCTGGGATGTTTCTTTGATGAGAACTGAATTGCTTTGTCAGATGTGTAGGATGTTGCATCTCCTTGGAATGTGAGTCTGTGAGAAGTCCCTGCTACTGCATGCCTGCCTTAGATGGGCAGGGAAATGTATCTGGGAAATCTTTGTTGTAAGATTGTCAGGATGGAAGATGAGCCACAGTATTGGCAGAGATAATTCTCAGCTGAGGCACCTCAGTTCTGCTCGTGTGCATGTGGACTCATTAACAGTGGTGTTCATTTGGTTCATTTAATGCAAATTGTTTCCAGTTCCCATGAAATACATTTCACTAGAGATTATTCAAATATGATAAGTTTTCAGATGTAAAATAGAGAACAATAATTGCGTATTTAGTCATATTCTGCAGCTGTGTGGCTTAATGTTTTAATTTCTTGGACTTAAGTAAGACCTCAGTGTGATCCGCTAGCTCAGACACTTCATAAGAAAACTGCTTTGAACTTAAAAATTTGTTAGATTTTGAGCACATTTTGGAGTTCTTTGGTCCTTTTGGTTGTGAAGATACTCTGAAAATATCAAGTTCTAACTGTGTGATGTGAAGGTTGCTGCCTGCAACCTCTGAAGTGTGAGTTTGGGAAGCAGTGGATTTGTCCTGATGAGTGTGGCCATAGGTGTCCATGACCCAGGTGTGAGCAGCCATCTCCACTGCAGAGAAAGAGGAAGATGACTCAGGGCAGAGTCACATCCTGTTAGCCCTGGCTGGGGACATCTCCACTTCACTCTTCCTGCTTCTCACTAATGAAAGCTGAAAAGCCATAAAAAGAAGCTGACTGAAATGTGAGAAAGGCCTTCCTTGGGCAATCTGTGGCTGCCTAGTCCTGCATGCAGTATCTCACCTGCTCAAAGGCAGCTCAGGCTCAGCGCTGTGTTTATGGAGCTCTCAGGGTGAGGTGGCCTCTTTCCATGGGTGATGGCTGCAGACCCAGGCACATGTAATGGCCTTGCTTCCCTCCAGCTGAGAGCCCTGTGCTGCTCTCTGCTGTCCCAGGCTGAGGTGGTTTGCTGTGGTGTGGATTGTGCTTCACAGGTGATTGCACCTCAGTGTCTGCCAGTGTCCAGAGCGGGAGAGAGCTGAGCCCAGCAGTGGCTGTACCATCTGAGGAGGCTGTGCACGCCCACCAGTGAAGAGCAGCATCTGGCTCCTGCTGTCAGTGTGCTGTGCCTGCCTCGTGGGCTTTCAGCTGGAGTTAACATGCGTGTTAACAGATGGACTTGGGTTGGATATTGGGAATAAATTCTTCCCTGTGAGGGTGGTGAGGCCTTGGCACAAGTAGTCCAGAGAAGCTTTGGATGTCCCATCCTTGGAAGTATTTGAGGCCAGGCTGGATGGGGCTTTGAGCCACTGGTCTAATGGCTGGTGTCCCTGCCCATGGCTGGGGGGTGAAATGAAATTATCTTTAAGGTCCCTTTCAGTCCAAACTGTGCAATGATTCTGGGACAGGTCAGCTCAGCTGGTCAGAGCAGGTGCCCGTTACACAAGGTTGTGGGTTTGATCCCTGTATGGGTCATTCCATGCTCCTTGTGGGTCCCTTCCAGCTCAGAATATTCTGTGATGAGTTTCTGTTTTAGAGTGCACATTCAATGAACCAGCAAAGCTGTGTTTGCATGGCTTCCTGAATCAAATGATCGTGGAGCAGAGCAAGAAACTCCACTTATCCATACATTCTGTTTTAGTGGGATAAAGCTTTGTGCCTCTCAGTGCATTTTTAACAGGATAGAGATTTAGGTAAAGGTATTTTAAGCTTTTAAAATGCAATGTGTTAGAAGAGTGAACTTGGAGTTGTCATTTGTAATGTGTACTGTGTGCACAGATCTCTGCTGAGGAATCTTAGTGTGAAAGATGGTGTTTAAAAACCTTCCCCAAATATATTGGCTGCCTCCCAATAACTTTTAAACTGGCATTGAAGCTGGAGAGGATTTTTTTTCTTCTGTTTCTGTGCTGTGTTGCTTAATGCATGCAAAACTGACTTGTTTGAGCAAGGATATTTCACTAACAGCTTGAGACTCAAATCACAAATTTCAAATACATTTCAAAACCTGTTTTGTGGTGGGAAATACTTCCCCTACAGCCTTCCTGGAGGTGTCCTTGCTGGTAGTTGCCACTTCTGTTTTTCCTCAGATATGTCAGGGTGGTTTTGCTGAAATAAATTGTCATCCTCAGAGCATAGAGGCCCTGGTGGCTGTGTTGTCTCTGAGCATGTCCCCCCTGCAGCCCCAAGCTGGGTGTTGGGTTGTTTTGGTTTCCTGGACAATGAGCTGGTGGCCTGGGAAGCCTGACCTGGCCTGGATCAGCACGAGGGGTGGCTGGAGCCTGCAGGAGGAAGCTCCAGGTGTCTTGAGAGGAAGGAAATGAGGGGAAAAGAGTGTGTTTTGGGGAACATTCCCACGCAATGCAAGGGAGAGGCATGGGCTAGGGGGCACATCAGGAAGGGAAGGGTCAAATGGGTCTGGCAAGGATGTTCTGGGTTTTACCACAGAAGGAAAAAGTACTCTTCCAGCCTTGAAAGAGCATCCTCATCCTCTGCTGGTGGCTGCTGCCTGCCTCCCTGAGCCAGCGTGGTGGTGGAGAGCCCCCAGAGCTGCTGCCTGGGGCAGGGGGAGCTGCCCTGTGTGACCCTGGGGCAGCGAGAGGGAAGGTGCTGATTAATGGTTAACACACTGTGCAGGAGAGGGGCCTCACAGACAATGTCTGCCTTCCTGCCCTATGCCTGAACCTCATGGGAAGCCTGCTCCATTCTTATCCCCTTCCTGGCACTGACCCACGGGTCTGCTGTGACCTGAGCCTTCCTGCCACCCCTGCAGGGCACCTTCCACCATAAGAACCAGGTCCATGGGCTTCCCTTGTCCCGAATGCAGAAGATTTCTCCTGCCTGTTGCAACAGAGAGGTGACCTGGAGCTGTGTTTGCAGCATTAGGCAGGAGAACAATAAAATAGCTGCCAGGGGATCTTAAGTGGAGACACCCTTCTGGTGACTAAGGTGTCCAGGAAGCAGTCTTTGGTCTGAGCAGTCACAGCTGCAGGAAGCATGGTGGGATGGGACTTGCTGGAGATCTGGTTGCAGAATGCAGCTGGGTACGCTGCCATGGGGGCATAGTGCCACTGCAGGGTGGGCAGAGCCCCCGGGGAAAGCAGCTCTGCTGGCCCCAGTGCCAGGACTTGTGTAGGGCACAGTCGAGGGTGCACCTGAGCCTGCCTGCATCAGGAGAAGGTAAGAGCTGGGAACATCTTCTCTGCTGTAGCAAGGATGCCAGTGGTGCCAACACATCCCCTGCGTGGTCTGGCTCTTGCCTTGGCTAAACTGTACTGTGAGTGAGGTGCCTTTGATGCATCTGTTGCCTCATTCGTTGTCTCATCCATGGAGCTTGGCTTGAGCCATCCCTATGGCTGAGAGACAAAGATCCTTTTAAAACATAAAAGAATCTTTGTTCTAGTTTTGTTTTGTCTAATTCTCACTTGTGTATAACGATGTACATAATCTATATGGAAAAAATTATCTCCACTTAAATGTTTTTTTCTCTGTACACATGCCAGGGGAAAATGCTTCATCGGTACTTCCTACAGTCCTGCAGACCCAGACAATGCACTTCTCAGTACTGTTTCAATCTACAGTTGCTGACAAATAAAATTGTTTGTCAATTTTACCAGAAGCAGATGTCAACTTTCTAGACTTAAAGCAAAACCCACAAACCAACAAAGCCCCCAAAAGAAAAGGAAAAAACCCCTTTAGACTCAGTGTGTGGCCTAAAGGCAGCCATCCCTGTGCCTGTGCTGCTAATTGGGCCCTGCCTGTCACCCTCATTAGCCTTTGGGCTTTTGGGCACTGCTGAGAAGGAACAGCCCCGTTACAGGGCACTGGAAGAGTTTGTTCATGATGTCTCTCTGTGGGAAGAAAAATTCAGTTCACACCCTGTAAGTCCAAACTATAAGGTAAAAATAATCCCTTTCTATTCTCTCCTAAACAGAACTGCTCCTGGAAAGCAGAAACAAACCCTAGTAATTGCTCTATGTCCCTGGAGTCCCTAACAGAGCATCTGCAGACATGACAGGAACAAGACCTGCTCCGGATCCCTGCAGTTTTCCGCAATGGCAGAGATCAGTTCATGCGTTACTGTGTCAGTGCTCTGTGTGTGCTCAGTGCTGTGGCACTGCAAAGAAGATGACTTTATTTTCCTGCTGCAAAGAGGTTGAAATCTTAACATCCTCAACATATGGAAGGAGAGTTTTCTCTGACTGTCAAAAATCTCATAAAATGTAAGCTGGGGGGAGAGGGGAGGCCACGTGCATGCTCAATGTTCAAGAAAAGCCTATTTGTGCTCAGTGTAATGACAATATTTTTCAGTTGCAACTCTCCTGTGCAGAAGTTTAATCTTCCTACTGTGGACAGAGTGAGAGCAATGAGAGCTACATCACTTTTAATATGGCCAGTTTTCTAAGAACAAAAGAAATCTGTGTCAAATATGTGATTTGGGTCGCTTTTGCACATTTTTTTTTGGTCTGTGGTTCTATTTATGCCCTGGCCAGTTCTTACACTCCCCAGCCTTGTAAGAAAGTAGACGTGGTTGCTAACTTTAAGAGGAAAGAGACTGCCTAGATCTGATCTGAGCACCATTGCCTTTGTTTATGTAAACAGTGACATCATCTTCTATTGCAGAATGGGAACCCTGAACAGTTACAGGAGAGCAAATTTAGGAATTGTCCTTATGAGACAAGTGTGATTCATCTTCAAGTGTGTATATTTAAGAAAGATGCTGTATCCTGAGTCAGATAAGTTCTGTGACTCTGACTTTACTCCAGTTCAAACTGTCATATATTAGTAAAAATTAATCACTTTTTTTTTTTCCTTTTAAACTATTTGAAAAGTGGTGCTTGCAGCCTGCTGGGGCGTGTGAAGAGCAGCAGAGCTGGCTTTTTTGTCCCCTTTCAGTTTCTCCAGAAATCTGCCTTTGCACTCTCCAAAAGCCTTTTGTAAGTGGTGCCTGACTCATCCAATGATGGTTAGGGCTGCCTTGTTCCTGGGATTCAGTGTCAGTCATCCAGGGGATGGTGTTCGAGGTGCTCAAGGCATTGTTGAACTGCCAGTAAAGCACTCCGTTTCCTACTGGGGGAGTTTGCTGAAGTGTGTTAGAAAATACCCCACAGCCAGGTTCAGTCTCTTCTCCATCACACAGTGTGGGGAAATAGGCATCCTTTTTGGCCAGAGCTGAAAAAGCAAAACCATGCAGAGCAGTATGGCTGAGTCGCTGCCAGGGGTGAACATCTGCTCTACAGCTTGTCATTCAGCCCTTAAAGGCTGTTCTGTGAGCAGCCAAGAGCACTGGCCTGGCTGGTTCTTGCATCTGTTTTGTACCTGAATGGGAAATCACTCTCTCCAAAGGGGATGGTTGCAGATTGGCAGGCTCCACCTCTGTGCCAGCTGCACGTGTGCAGCAATGCATGGACCTGGCTGCTGGAGAGAGAAAACCCTGGTTTCTCCTCACTTGGATTTTCTGTGCCATATTTACTGAAAATAATTGCTCCTGTAGTGAATTACCATGAGGGAAGTAGACAAAAGCTCCCCATTTCCTAGCACCTGCCTTGCTGCAGGGACATGTCTCTGTGCCTCTTCTTGCTGTCAGGAAGTGACTACATCTGTGCTGGTCAGGCAGGGACAGAAGGCTGAAAGTTCTTTGGGTTGCCTTTGTTTGTTTGTTTGTCTGTTTGTTTAACAAATTAACACGAGCTTAGCAAGCATTGGTGATTGTTTCCAGCGAGTTTGCTTTCAAACTTGGCCTCATGTCATGGGAAAGGCTGGGGTTAAGTGCTGTTGGACATTGGGAGGTGCCATGGTCCAGTGTCCTCCAGCTGTGTCCTAAACCAGAGAACCTTCTGTCCTCTCTGAATTGTTTCCTCTGTGCATGAAGGCAGATGTTGCATTATACCAGGGGCAGAACAGCCCCTGTATAATATATATATTTCCCCAACCTTCCTGGTCTAGTAGCTGTTGCCACTTTTCCTTGGCTTTAGGCCAGGGCTGGCTCAGCAAACCCTTGGGTCAGATTCCCGATTTCTCTCATCTGAAGCCGCCTTTTCCAGCGCTGGGAGCGGGGAAGCGCTGCTGGAGCCGCCCATCAGCCTGGGCTGGCCCTGGAAAGGCTCCGGTGCTGCTCTGGGGGAGGTGTCCAGCTTGCTTTTCATGGCTCCTGCCAGGTTTCACTTGCTCTAATGCCTGAGTTTCACACTTAAACCTGAGGAAGATCACAGCTGAAGGCGTTCTGTCTTTCCAGCTCCCTGTGGGAGGGGGAGCTCCCTGATGGCACTTTGTGCTTTGTTTTGAGCTTACCAAGTGTCTTCACCCTCATAAAAGCAGATGAACCCAGCTGGCAGCAGGGCAGAAGTGAGATGGTTTGGGGCATCTCACAATCATACACCAGTTCCTCACTGGGGCCAAATTACAGCAGTGCCCCAAACAGATCCTCAGTATGTCCACACTGGTGTGGGTTTGCCCACGCTGAGGGCTGCTGACCTGGCTGACGTGCAGGGCAAGAAGCAGTTTTCACTCCTCCTGCTTCCTGGAAGGTGAGGAAATTTGGACCAGTCTGGGAGAAGCTGATCCTCATTTGGAGAAGACTTTGGGTGCCACCTTCATGTGACGATTCTCAGGAGTATCCTTGAGATACCATTTATCCAGAAGATCTGCTGTGCCTGATAACTTTAGGAATGTGTGTTTCTTGCATGGTCTTATATGATCCTGGTGAGCCATCTGGAAATTTCATCCTATGATTACTCCAGGATCTGGAAGACTTTTTGTAACTACTAATCCCAGAAACAGATTTTTCCTTCATCCTGTCTGTCAACACAGCCTTTAACTTATTTTTATGGGCTTCAGCACATGTTTGAAGCATCACTGCCTTAGGATACAATTTATTTTTTCCAGAGTATCTCAGTGCTTCTTATATCTACTTATAGCACTTTCTGAGGAACAGCTGTTTTGTGGGTATTTATTAGGATCCTCTGTGTCTTCAAAACTTGACACATCTCTGCACACCTAGAACAGGAATCAGTGTGACTTAGCATGCCATGAGTATGAGGTCCTAGGAAATTATGCTTTGCGGTGCCACATATTTTGCCACCAAAAAAATTGAGTAATGTTTTCATTGGTAAGATGTGATAAATATTTCATTAAAAATATTGATGCAATTAAAGCAAGGAGGGTAAAGCAAAAAGACTAAGATAACTGGTGCCATGCTAGATTCTGGATATTTTGCCCCTTTTTATTGTGTCTTGCCCTCTGGCTCTTGTTCACCCATCAAAATAACTTGTGGATGAAGTTTGCTGTATGTGTCTTAACTTCTCTGTGGAGGGAGTGGGATATGGCAGGCAGGAATCCTGTGTGCAGGAAAAGCTGTTTAATAGAGTGCCACCAGTGTTGGGGGAGTTTGGGAAGGTCTGTGTGGTCATCCTGCCTGGAACCATGGCCCTGTGTTCCTGCTGGAGCATAAGGCTGGAGGCAGAGGTTGAGAGAAGCTGCCTGGAGGAGCCTGCAGGACGCATTTCCCATGGCTGGAGCATGGCAGAGTGATGGAGAAGCAGGAGGAGTCTGTGTGTGTGCACAGCCCCAGGGAGGGGCTCGCTGCAGGGCACAGGTTTGCTGTTTGCCCTGGAGCACACAGGCTCCTCAGGCACTTGCAGAGCTTCGTGTGAAGCCCCTCTGCAAGTCAGCAGCGATGCAGGGACAGCTGCCTCCTTTCTCTCTCTCGGTAAGGAAGAATTCTCAGAAATGGTTTTTATATTTCTTGGGAACAACAGAAAATCTTGACTTAATTGCTGTTCTAAATGTATGCCTATGGCTTCTGAAAGGCCCAGCAGGATATAAAACCACCAGTTACCAGTTCTGATTTTTGCCAGAACTTCAAAGTGTTTCCTTTTATGCAGTAATCTTAAAACTAGTCCAAGAAAACACTCGCACTATTACTTAGATATTCCAGTTGTGCCACCAATATGGAAACTTAAATTATTATATTTCCCACAGGCAAAGCTTCCGTTGTTAGTTAAACTTGATGGTCTTCTGCTTGCTTGTAGGGAAGATACAGCTCCTTTCTATGGTCTGAAAAATGGTTGCAGCTCAAAGCTGAGCCAAGAGTGATGATTGGTCCTAAAAAAATAGGACCTTAATATAGTAACCAAAGTCCTATTAGACTTTAAATGTTTTTTAATCATAGTCATATCCTTCTCTGGAAAAGAAGTTTCACATGCACCAGCCAGTACTCATTTAATAAACGTTTTGTTATTTTACTGTTTGGATTACAATTCCCATCTTTATCACTTGTGCATCATGCCCAAACTTTATAGAGTAAAAGCCTGTGTACCTCCAGTGATTAAATGCAAAATTAGTCAGGTAGGACTCAGTCCTATCCTCTAAGCCTTAGTCACTTCTTGAAAGCTTTGTAAGCTTGGTTCACCTGCCCGTGCCAGTGTGGCCCTGTGTGGTCTGGCAATGTGTTTATCTTGTGAGCAAGGCCATTGCACAGGATTCATCCATGTGTGCTCAACAAGCCGTGGCTGCTCTGCTCCAGAGATTATAATTAAATAATATCAATAAATCATGAAATTGAAAAGGACATGGGGTTTTTTTTTGGTCAGGTTGTATTGGGACTTTCTTGGTAAGTGCAGTTATGTGGGCAGAGTCTGAAGTATTTCTTTTTTCTGCTGGAGTGACCTCAGAGTAGCACTTGACCTTGCAGTCAGCCAAGGCAGGTTTGTCCCTTGGCTGCTGGGCCCAGGAGAGCCCCAGCAGATGCACCAGGCCCTGGTCAGGAGGAAGTCCTGGAATGCCAAACAACAGCCACCAGGGCCAGCAGAGCCCCATCATACTCAAAGTACTTTCAATGACTATGGGATGTGTGGTCAAAAATAAAGAGGTTGTTCAAAAATCGTTTAGATATAAAGAAATCCTCCTGTTTAAGCAAATATCCTGCTGAGTTTCTCCTGGAAAATAATTTGATGTGTAAAATTGTATCTTTTCCAGATTATGCAGGATGAGATTTAAAAGAGAAGTGTTTAATTCTCCAAACTTAGAAAGCATGTGGGCCTCAAACTCTTTTCCCAGTTGGAAAATGTACTATTAAGAAAAGGAAATAGATTTTTATAAGCAATATTTAATTCAAGCATTTGGCTAATTCTTCTGCTGCAAAGCTTTAAGGTCAAATTCTGATTCATTGATGTGGATCTGGAATTAAAGGGATTAGGAGAGGAAGTGGACTCAGAAGTTAGGAAAACTTTAGTTTCTTGTTCACTTTTTCCTACTCATCAAATGTATTTTTGACCTATGTTTCTATTTTAAGTGTTGTAGGGAAACTTACTCCTATGTGTCTGCCTTTGCTCTTTTTCTGCCCATTGTCATCAGCTCTGCCATGGGTGTGTTCCATTCTACTGTTGCAGAAAGGGATCTTGATCATTCTGGACATGACATTGTTGTACAAATGCTGGGAATTTCTACATTTATTCCATTCGGTTAGAGAATGGAAAATGGGTGGTTTATTATTCTTATTACTCATTAAACGTATGTGTTAAAACAGTGCCCTGTTTCACAATGTGATGTTCTGCAGTAGCCCAGGGCCTGAGGGAAGCCACGGCCAGTACCTTCCTTTTGTTTCTACATGTACATGTATTCACAGAAGTGTGGATTGTGTTCAGGATTCCTACAGGGATCACTTTGGGGATCCATCTGAAAGCTTTTCATCTGGCATTAAGGTCATTCTCCCTCTGGCTGTCCTTGCCATTTCTCTGTTGTGTGTGTGACCCTCAGCTCCTGTTGTCCACAATCCCACTCAGCTTTCAACAACTTCCCATGTCCCATTGTGAGTACGCTCATTCCTAGGTCTCAAGAGACCTGGTAGCCATCAATCCAGTGTCATTTACAGTGTCCTGTAACACCATGTGTGATGGTTGTGAGTGCTTTTTGTTTTCTGTGGTCATAAAGCAGCTACAGTGAGTCTACTGGAGGAGCCAGGTCTGCATCCCACCCTGGCTGTGGTGCTGTGAAGTTGTGATGGATGTACTGCTTTCATAAATGCAGCAAACAGCACTGCCAAACCCAGTGGTTTATCTGGGGCCATCCATGTGCTCTGGAAAAAATAGCTTATCCTGGGAGTAAGAATAATGGGGGGTTTTCCTCAGTTTCCAGTAATTACTTTCAAAGTAATTATGTTGCTCAAAAGAAAGAGCTGCTGCTTGTCTTGTGAGAAAAAGGAGATAAGAACAAGGAGGTTAAATGTGACAACTCTTTGGGATGCCAGCCCCTGCCAGTGCTCCAGAGAGGAGAGCACAGTGGTGATGAGCCAAATTCAGCTTGGGGCCAGGAATTAGTCAGGTGGGAGATTCCCACTAGATTTAGGGTGTCCTGGGAGGTCTCCTGGAATAGGGAGAAAAGAAGGGGCGTGGCAAAGCAGAAGACTGTATCATTTTTCTCCCAGTTTTCACCATGTAATTCATGCTTTGCTCTGTAAAGCACTGTGATATAGTTTGTGTACATTATGTAAAATAAATTGTATTCTATTATATTGAAGAAATACAAATATAAAATAAAGACAAAGGATGGAGTAAAGTAGCTGTGTGGTAACTGGACCCCCAGTCCCCAGTTGCACTGGTTGTCCCATTCCCCAAGTCTGTGGTTGGAAGTCTCTGCCATCCCTGGAATTATTTAGGTGTTTTCCACATGATGATACAATGTTAAATACAGACTGTCCTGGATGAAAAGGGAAGCACAGATCAAATTCTGTCCCGTATCACTCTCCAGGAGAGCCTACCTCCACCATCCCCTGCTCTCCTGCTGTTTGTGGCATTGTGCAGCTCTTCCATCTCAGGAGTTTTAAGGAGCAATTTTTAACTGTTTCTTTAAAACTGAATTTTTAACTTCATTTCTTTGAAGTTGGGAAAGCTCTAATACATCTCCAGGCACAACTGGCACGTGGGCTCTTTAGGAGTAGTGCCTGTTGGTAATGGGACAGCATGTGGCAATTTATAATGTATGGAAAGCAAAACTCCAACTCTCCAGAGTTTGAGTGGGGAGGAGGCTGGGAGGGAGGTGAGGATGGCTGTACGCCCTTCAGATGGGCAACTTGCTATTGCAGAAGTTGGAATCTGGCAGAAAACGCCAAAGGGGAATCTTTTATGGAAGAAAGATGTGTTTGTGAGCTGGCGGGCAGCAGGACGAGATCCTGCTTCTGCATTTCAGGGCCGAGGAGCGAGCGAGCCGCGTCCCGGGGCGCGGCAGGCGGCGGAGCGGGATCGCAGCTCCGGGGCGGCGGAGGAAGGGCGGAATCCCCGCGGCTCCCGAGCCCCGCGGCTGCGGCCGAGCGGGATCGCAGCTCCGGGGCGGCGGAGGAAGGGCCGAATCCCCGCGGCTCCCGAGCCCCGCGGCTGCGGCCGAGCAGTCGGAGCCTCTCGGCCCTGCGAGGCTGCCAAGGAGGTCAGCGCGGGGGGCTCCCGGCACAAATCCTTCTGCTCGGTGGGAATTTCCCTCTTGAGCGACTGCTGCACTTTTTAACCCGAAGATTAATGGAAGGGGGCCGTGGAAAGGGTCGGAGTGCCGGAATTAGTTCATTAGTCTCCAAGCAAGCATGCAGGGCTGAGTCACTGGCGGCGCTTCCTGCGCTGATGCTCTGCCCGGAGCTCTCCCAGCGCTGGGAACTCGCGGGGCCCGATCACCGCATGCTGCGACTGCGGGCTGTTAATGCTATAAAATAAAACTAATCTAGATTAATGACACTGCACATGGTATTCGTCTATAATCCTGCTCCTTGGCCTCTTTCCCTCCCAACATAGCTCCCCATTGTTTTCTGGTTCTCTCTTAAGGTGTCCTTGACTTCCTTTGGGTTTCTGCATTTTTCCGAGGGCTGGGATGACAAAGCTGCCTGGTTGGCAGCAGTGCCTGCTCTGGCCGTTCACCTGGGGCAGACCCATGTCTGTGTATGGGGAGGCATAAACAGCCAGTCAGAGCTGTCATTTGGCTTTGATGGGTCACCAGCAGTGCTGACAGTGAGGTGCTGCAGCACGGCAGGATGGATGGCTGGAAATCTCCTGGTCATAGGATCATAGAATATCATATCTTGGAAGAGACTCAGTGGGTCCAGCTCCTGGCCCTGCACAGGACAACCTCACGACACCAGAAATGATGGTCCTGGTAGGGAATGCACACAGGATGTGTCTGTTTCCATGATGTTACAAAGGTTTGTTGCTACATCTGACAGAAATGGGTTGAAAATGAAATCCAGCCATGCAGGGGACCAGCCTGTAACTGCAGCCAGTTCTTACTCTGAAACAGAGCATCTTGTCAAACCAGTTGTCTTCCTCACGTGGAAGTAGTGGTGTTTATGTGCAAACTTGTGTGCAGTTCTGGCTACAGCACTCTGGGATGAGACAGTCTCTCACTGCGGTGCAAGGACCTGGAGGAAGAGCTGGAGAGCAGGGCCAAAATGCCAGACTTTTCATTCCTAGGACACATCTCTCACCTGCACTGCTGATGCGTGGCCAGGGAATAGAAGCCCCAACCACAGGTTCAGGCCTGGGGGGCTGAGGGCATCCAGGTGCCCCCTCCAGCTCATCCTCCACCACGGGGATCCTGGCACAGGTTTGTTTTGCAGCAGGTCTGAGGGTTGAGCACAGAGGGAGGGTCCTGCAGCCTTCATGACTGAGCGTCATCGCCTGCCTGTGCAGCCACAGGAGGCTGGTGTCTGTCCCACTGCTCTGACTTTCCAGCTCTGGTAAATCTATTGTTGCCATAGGTGCTGGGAAATGAAAAGGTGTCATCTTGACAGGGAAGCCTGTAGGATAAGGTCTGGTTACTGTCTGGAGCCTGTGGCAGCATTCCCAATGACTTGAGTGGGAGAACCAGGACCCTGATCCCTTGAGAAGATAAAGATCTAAGACTTACTAAATCTGGACAAAATCATCTGTACTTTTGTTTTGCTGTGAGTTGTTTCATGCAAGGAGATTTTTAATTTATCTTAATACCTCACAGAGGATTGTTGCACTTTCATGTGATGCCAGTGGGATCAGCATACCAGTGGATGCTCCGCTGGGTCCCAGGGTGCAGTGCCTGGAGGTCTCCAGCCCCCTCCACAGCAGCAGTGGATTATGGGCATCATTCAACTACTTTCCTAAATGTTCTCAATTATTTTTTGCTGTAGTCACTTCTAGCAGGTGTTTTGAAATGTGGTGACCATTTTTTTTTTTCTCCAGCCTTTGTTTTTCTTCCCTGTTCACCTGTTTGAACACTGTTGCCACAGGGAAAAGGATTCTGAGGGTTCAACAACTGGCTGGAATATTTTTCCTTTTTATTCTTTGCCTTTTCTTTTTTTTAAATGACTGCATTTTTAAATGGCATGTTTATAAGTATGGACCTCATTTTCAAAACAAAGTGTTTTGAAACTAATTTTGCAAACAGCTGTTGCAAAGGCCAGCCCAGACTGGAGACTTTTCGCATCTGTATCTCTGACTGTGTCCCTGTGAAAGCTGTGTACAAGAGGGGCTCGTGACCCACACAGGGTGGTAAAACAGCTGTTTTGAACTCTTGGTCTGTCCTGATGTCCCCTCAAGCTCTTCCACCAGCTCAGACATCCCCAGTGCCACTCTTCCTGAAGAAAACATGCAATTTCTTAAGTGGTTCAAATACAGTAACCTGGGGAATCTGCATGTGGTGAAACAGACCCCGCTCACACCTGAGACCCTTCCTCCTGCACCTGCTCCCTGCAGTCAGCAGCCTTGGGAAGCTGTGGCATTTACCAGCAAAACCAACACGTCTGTGGGTATGTTTTCAGTGGCACTTTGTGCATCTGCTTTAGATTGCTTTAAATTACAGCAAGGGGCCGGCTATGTTTAAATGGACTCAGAGGTGAGACCAAAGAAATGAGGCTTAAAATTCAAAGCAATCCGACCTGCCCTGCCATGGCGTAATGGTCTGAGTAAGGCGCTGGCACGGAGCCATCTCCCTGACTCCTGGGAGAGATGCTTTAAAAGCTCCTCACATGGGCAGTTCAAATGATGTACACATGGGGAGAAAGAAAATAGTGTTTAATTGAAACTCTGTTCATGTATATGTGTTTTTAGGATAAACAAAACAGATTGGGCAAATATTTACTTCTGCCCCTACTGCTACAAAGCAAACTTTCCCACAGCTTTTGACAGAGATAATCTGTTTTTTAGCCATGATGGTGAATTTGTAATGACAAGGTTTCATTCTGAATGTTTCAGGATTTCCTGATTGGTTCTCATGCAATTATTTTGATTAACAATGAGGTTTTCAGACCAACTTGAAAGGGTCTTGGAGCCTTAGGAATAACCTGGCTCTTGGTTATTCCTCTCCCTGGGATTATTTTCTGCAGCTTTCTAGCACTGGAATCAAATTCTTTGGAAATCAAAGCAAACTACATCTTAAAAATATTTCATATCTCCACCCCCCTCTGAGAAGGGTTTCTTTAAGTTTAGAAAAATGCTTGTACCCATGTCAAAAAAAGGGAAATACATAGAATTGGAATAAGAATGAAATCCAAATGTATTTTTTAAATGAAAATATGTATTTTTAATAAAAATATGAATGCTTTAGGTGGTCATTTCTGTGAGAAGGCAACATCTGAAAACAGAAACTGAGAACTATTCAGGGCATTTCTGATTAAAAAAGAAATGACATCTCATACTAGAAATGTCTGGATGTTTCTCTTTCATTTATAAACATAGGAGGGAGCTTAAAGGATTAGGAAACATCCATTAATGCTGTTTACTCAGATTTCATTGTTCTGTTCTTATCACTTAGATTTTTTACCCTTTCTATAATATGATGTAGAAATCTCAGACTGGCTTTAGAGTGTGTATGCCAGCAGATCCCCTCCTCACTGCCTGTCTCTGCACTGTGGGTGATGGCATCTTTCTGCAGATGGGAACAGTCCTCAGGAGTTTCCATTCCCGGCAGAAAATGCCATCAGTGGCAAGTATCCTTCATTCAGAGCAGTGCATAATGTGCTTGGACCCAGTGCATCCTAGGCAGGGTCCAAATCAGCAGGGACTGCGCCTCCTTGAGCTGTGCCCACAGTGCCCACAGCACACTGGGCTCCTGCTCTCGGGTGGGTGAGAAATGAGACCTGGCTCCTGCTCACAAGAGATGCACGTGGAATAACCCCCCTCTCTGTTTTCAGCGGGCAAGTCGGCAGCATTTAATGCAGCTGCTCCACAGTGCCGCCCTGGCACTGCCACCCCCACTGAACTCTCGGGGAAGGTGGAAGGTTGATGTCAACCAGGTGAGCCTAAACATCTGCAATGTAACACTGCGAGATGTCTGCAGTGACAGGTCTTGCATTTACCATGTCCTAGATTAATTTGTCACCTTATAATAACTTAAATGTAACGGTGGATTTAAGTGTCACCGTGGCGGAGCCCAGTGAGGATTGAGAGGGTGGTTTTGATACAAGCTGAGAAGGCTGTAAATGAAAAAAACCCAGTTTTTGCTATCTGTGAAAGTGAAGCTTTCTGAGTTCAAGCAGTTACCCAACCAAACTGTTGAAGTTAAGCAAACATACTAGCTAAAGGTAAGTATGTGTAAGAGCGTATTTT